CCCAAACAGACTAATACGGCAGTTGAGAAAAACAAAGTTGCAACTGCATATTATTGATTGAAATTATGAATTACCAATAATTCAGTCTAAGACAAGAGCCTACCCTCTTAATCACAGAAATAAGGTATTTTCTAGAACAATTTGTTACCTCATAACTCTCCCAGTAAACTGCTAAGAAAAAGTTTTGAATAATATTTAATTTCAGGATTTTGAAGAAAACACTTCTAAATATGATCTCCCCCAAAATGAATGTACACACTCCAGAATAGTAAATATTATTGCTACATATTGTGTATATTTTGTTGTAATTTCCATTGATTTTTAGAGTGAACCGTAGTACCACAAAAAATTATGTGGTTTTCTGTAGTGGAAAGGTCTAAATACAACATTTTTAATAATTTGATTTATAAAGGAACCTACAGATTCCTTGGTTTTATTTGCTGGTTTATAATATTTTAATGCAATTTTCTTAATGCAAAATACAGTGGATTCCTCTGAAAGGATGAATTATAAGTTTTAAGATATTTTAATCTTATAAATTTGTTTGTATTTTCTTTAAACCTTCAAATATACCTACCTGGCAGTAATTCAGTGGCTGAATGATGGAATTTGGCTCCATTGGATATTTTCATTATAGATATTATTAGGACTTTAGAAATTATGTGTATTCTATTTTCTATACTTTGTTGCTCAGAAAACCAAAGAAAAACAAAATCAAGCATTTTGCCAAAATAACCATAAGAAGAAAGTAGGAAGGTATGAAAGCAAGTACCTAATCCTATCTATACCCTTACTGTGCTTCAAACCTAATTTACAAACATGAAATCAGATAACAGTTTTTCTTATCATTTAGCATCATATGAAAGCTGTTTCTAGATGACAAAATACATGATGCATTGAAGAAAAATTTTTCATGCAAAATTAGTTATTTCCAAAAATGCAAATGACTGAACCCTGAGAAATGCTCTGTCAGTTACTCATTCACAGACAGAAGTATTAAAATATCTCATTTACAAATGGATATTTCAGCCCGTCTATTCATTAAGGATAAAATTGTATCAAGTCTACAGCCTGTCCTGCCAGTTGCCTGGCTGTCAATGTTCAAATAGCCCAAATGACCTATCAAGACACAGTTTCTTAATAAAGATTAAATATCTTGTCAGGAGGTTTAGAAATGTGTTAAGTGTGATAACTCTGCTTTAGGAGTGAAAACATGATGGTTTATTTGAATAGTACCTTTATCACTGCAGCATATAAAACATTTTTGCTATCTACTAGAATATTAAACAGTATATTGGTTTTGACACTTGTCAAATGTAAATTCAGATAATCAAGGATTTCAAGGATCTAGGTATGACCTATATTTAAACTTCTATTAAAGAAACATAATTATCATTGCTTGGTTTTAGAAACTATAACACAGTTTTAAAACTACATACATCTATAAAGTTCCCAGGAATACTAGAGGTTTCTATGTGAAATGCAACAATGACGGTGAAAAAATAAAAAATCAATCGCTAAAAAAGTAAAGGAAATTGAAACAATTAGATTAAATTATGAAACTATGTAATAAATGGATTTATAAATTGAATAGGTAATATAATTATATCAAAATAAATTATCAAAGTTAAACATAACTTATTTAATACGGCACATATCTTGTGCCTCATAATCTGGCATAAATCAAACCACAAGGTGGAATGTTATTGAGATTCTCAATCAACACAAACAACATTCGTTATAAATATCAGCTAAAACGGAACTTGAAAAACAAGCGATATGATTAGCTACAACAAAATAAATTCATTAAAACAAAAAGCTTTTTTCTTTTTAACAGAGACTTTGTGACTACTAATTAAAAATCAGAATAATTTATTTCAACCTTTATATATTTTAATTTAGTATTACAGTCAGAAAGACAGCCTGACCTGTTATACAAGCTTTGCTTGCAAACATCTCCATCTTTTATTTTATTAAGCTTAGATCTGCAGGAACGAGAGATGAATTATTCTAATGATAAATTCTCATTAAACAAATCAGCAAAGTAAATCAGCATAGCTAGAGGAAATATATATATATCCTATCATAAGGGATTAAAAAAACCATAATTTTTTATGAAGTCAACTAATAAACAGCATCAATTCCAGTGTGTTTATTGTCAAATTTTGCATAGGTGAGGTGGGGAATAAGATGCCTCTACATCCACAGGTATCTAGCCACTGGCTTTTTGTGTTTCTCCATTGACATAATTTATATACCACAAAGTTGACACCTTTAAAAGTGTACTGTCCAGTGGTTCTTAGCATATTCATGAGTTATACAACTCTAATTACTATCTGATTACAAAACATTTTCATCGCTAGAAAAGAAATCCATTAACAGTCACTTCCCATGCCCTCTGTTCCACAATGCCTGTCAGTCATTAATCTGTTTATTTCTATGTATTTGTCTGTTCTATATATTTAACTTACATGAAATCAAAAGATGTGTGACCTTTGTATCTGGCTTCTATCAACTATCATAAAATTTTCAACGTGTATTTATGTTGCATCATGTAGCACTTTATATCCAAGTAATATTCAATTGCATATTCAATATTGTAATTCAATATTACATTTAGTTTGTCAGTTTACCAGTTGATGGACATTTGGTTGTTTCCATTTTTGGCTACTACGATTAGTTCTGCTATGAATTTTTACATACAGTTTTTCGCATTGAAAACATACAATATGTTTTCAATTCTCTTCGATATTTATCTAGGAGTAATATTGCTGAGTATTATGGAAACTCTAAGTTTAACATGCTGAAGAACTACCAGCAAGCTTTCCAAAATGACACGTTTTTTATACCTTCTATCAATGTAAGAGGGTTTATTTTTTCACATCCTTGTTACCACTTGTTATGGTTTATCCTGATTATAGCCATCTCAGTGGGTATAAAATGATGTTTTATTGTGGTTTTAATGTGCATTTCTCTAATAACTAGGATGTAAAGCATATTTTCATATGCTTTTTGTTTATTTTTATATCTTTCAATTATTGGATGGATTTATTTTTTAACAAGTCATCCAGTCTTGCTGAGAGACCATGCATGTGTGGCATGCCTTTGACATTCCAGTTGGCAGTTGACAACTCTGCCTTAACTTTCACTTCCTTCCTCCTCTGAGACTCAACACTGGCCAGAGTTGAGAACTTTAGACCTTCTAGAATTCTTCCTGAACATGGACCAAGCCCTATGCATATGCAATATGCACGTCCTGCTAGATTCCCGAAAATATATCACAGTTTTCAAAATCCCTATGGACATCTCATTCTCCTGCTTTCCCTTTTAAGCTTTCTGGTTAACTTATTGTTTGGCTTTAACTATTATCCACTACCCTAGGCAACTCTTGAAGGTAAACAAGTATTTCAAAATATTTCAAAATACAGCTCCAGGGAAAGACTTTTCACATTGGGTGAAATCCGACTGAGTTTAAATAAAGACAACCTGGCAAGCAGAGACTCCCAGGGAACCACCAGACGGGCCAATAAATAATGATTCTCTGAGAGTGAAGCTTTGGGAAAGCTATATTTCTTCTCCTTCTGATGGCTGCTAAGATGTTAGATTTCACCATGTTTGCAGTTTATTGCTTTTCAGAGTTAATACAGGGCTAAAGATGTGGTGGGGGGAGGGTAGAAAAATAGCAAGTTAAATTGTCATAAGCCTCATAGTTCATACTGAAATTCAACTATTTTTCTTGAACAAACATATTTCAAACCTGGAAATCCTTTTGTTTATATCCGGAGAACTGGAAAACTGGATTCTGACCATTTTTGCTAGTTTTCTTATTGTTTTTACAGGAAGAGATATTTCAGAGTTCCTTAAACTGCTATTTTTGTTGCCATTACCCACTGAGCCTATAGTTTTTCAAGACATTTAAGTTCCTGAGCATTTATCCTCATATTACCAACATTTTCATGGAAAAGAAGCATGTAAATACAGTCCTTCATTTCCTACCCAACATGAAGATTATGCTATCAAGAGCTTTTCTGGTCAATTTCCAAATCCCAGCATTATAGGTCATTAAGAGAATGAATAGTCATCATTAAAATATTACCAAAATGTCTATTTTTTTTCATTCCCTAAGATCATACAAATTCAGTTATTTCTGTAATAGTACTAGTATTTAGTTTAAAGTCAATAGCTTCGAGCATGAAGATTATACTGCTGCTTGACTGAATTACAATAGCCTATTTTAATTAATATCTGAAAAGCTCAGTTTACTCATATGTGACACAAGGGAATCCTGGTTATACATTATATTTTTTTGTTACTTGAATGGAATTAAATCATTCTAATAAGCAACATAAGCCATATATAAACCCAGAATTCAATTAACATTATTTATTATTGAAGTCTTTCCTAAGTTTTTCCACTTCTCTAGTATCTTGTTCCCTCACTAAGTCTCTTTTATGAGTCACTTTTGTCTTCTAGCCAAGTATTTGAAAAAGAAAACACTTAAAAAAATGTATTTCATTAATCATTTGGTTTTCTTCCTGGTCTAGAGATCAGTTGTTTAAATGTCTTGAATAGAGAGTTGAATCACTCCACAAAGTGTAGTTAAATGTGATTGTGTTATCTTTATCATAAATTTCACCTTTGTTTGATGTGCTATACACAAATACATAAAGAGAAAATATAGTTAGCTGTTTTTCAATGTCATTTTCTTACTTAGATCATTAAGGAAAGTAAAGCGTTATATTCTATATCAGAATGGATTGCATTTATATTCTTTCATTTCTAAAATAGGTTTCTTCCTTTGAAATGGAAACAGCTTTCTAACATAAAGTAGGTAATTACACACTCCATTAAACAAGTAATTAACAGATTACAATTTGAAAAAAAAAAGAAAAACTTGAAAATGAGCAATTTGGATTCTGAATGTGGAGAGTAGTGTTATAATTAGCATAATACCTTTAGACATAGATTAACAAGTACACAATAAAAATGAAAAAAGAAACAATCTGTTTCTTCCATACTGATTATCCACCACAAATAGTATTTCATGAGTCAAACATTCACATGGTTTTAAGAAAGCTTGATCTGAGAATCATTGTTATATTACTCTAAAATTCAAAAAGATAAGGTTTTGATGTATAAAATGTTTGTAATCCTAAGAGACTACAACACTTCAGAGTCAATATTTTAAATTGTCATTCTACAATAATTCCCTGAGGCAAATGGCCAATGCTAGCAACATGTGTAATTTAAATTAGTAATCTAAAATTGTAAAAAAAGGCTCAGTGTTTTGTAAGGGTGGCTCATTTCCACTGCAAGGTTAAAAATGTGCATAATGGGAAGTCAAAGGAAACGTGTACATTAAGTATGTATTATTCTGCCGTCTAAGAAAAATAATGCATCCTAAACTGGAAGAAAGGACCACGCTCCTTGCTAATTTGCTGTTTAAGAAAAAAAGAAAAAAAAAAAGCCAACCTGTGCAATATAGTTTGACCCCATCTGCACAAAAACAATACAAAAATTATCAAGGCATGGTGGCACATGTCTGTGGCCCCAGCTTCTTGGGGGACTCGGGCAGAAGAATCACTTGAGCTTTGGAGGCCAAGGCTGCAGTGAGCCAAGATCACACCACTGCACTCCATTCTGGGTGACAGAATGAGATGTCTCAGAAAAAAAAAAAAAAAAAAAAAAAAAAAAGGAAAGATAAAAGAGGAGAAGGTGTACACAAAAGAAGAGGGTTGAGATGGGGTGTGGCAGGGGCAAGAGTGCTGAGTTACTGCGGGTGCCACAAACAGGTTCAAATAGTAGTTGTAAAACAAAAGTCTGCAAGTCAAAATAATAACCTGTCCTGAAATAAGATGTGTATTTTTCTTCCATGCGAAATTCTGGGCTAAATGCCGCATTGGAATCACAGTAGCAAGGAAAAAAGGAAAGTTCTTCAGGCCAGGTCTTCTAATGAAACTATGTTCTTATCTACCTCTAGTAAAATCAAAGGATGCACAGGGACTAGGTCATTAAGTCTGAAATCTGTGCTCCTGGTTTATCTGATTATTTCTGTTCTGAAATTTGAGCTGACCTTGTGAGCAACAAATAAAAGAACCCATATATTGTTTTCATTCCATATTGAAAATAAACAAAACAGAACACTCCATAAAAGGAGATTTGCTCCTACAATGTTACTAAAAACAGACATTTGATACATTCAAATCTGCCAGCATGAAGATGCTACAGAGAATGTCAAACAGCTATTGACTTTTGAGTTGTTATTTCTATATGGCAGTAAAAAGACACTGTTGTTATATGCTACTGTTACATTTGCTTTACGGTTATTTTAGTAAAAAAAAAATATGTTTGTGCTACCTTGTGCCATTACTTGATAAATTTCTTTTGTGACCCTATGTTAATTCTTAACTCATTTATATCAACATATACGCAGTGCTATCCTGGAAATGTTTGTTTCATAGATATTAATACTTCCCTAAATATTTGTAAAATGCTGCTACAGATTCTAGCTATTACAATACATCCAATGTAAATGTTAATAATGAGAAATTGTGTAAAACAGGCTGAGAAACCTGAGTCATCTATGGGATGCTACTTTGATTTGAAAGTAGATATGTAGCGGGTGGTCAGTGGTGGGACACATTTCAACTTGAGTTTTCTGCCCATAAAGAATGACTTTTTGGTCAATCCCATTGCATTTCTTAAAAGCAGATGATGCATCACCATGAATGTCTTCTATGTGGCAGATGCAGGATTTGTTTATAAGAAATTATTGCTTAAGGGCTATGCTTGTTGCCCTAAGCAGTGTATTTGAAATTGATAACAGAATAAGAAATATACCAGACTTTAGCTCTTGGACATAAGTCAATAATGGCAGCTACTTTTCCAAAGATCAAGAATACTTTGGAAGCATGTTAGTTTCACAGGGCAATTCCAGGTGAAAATTGAAAATATTTTGATTTCTCAAAAGGTTGCAGAGAGTTTTCTGCTTTCTCGTTTCAAATACCAATTTCAGAAATCACATGCATTGTCAGCTATTTTTGGCATAGAAAACTTTCCGATATTTCATGAATACACCTTGTAGGCCTTAATCAAATACTTAGGCTTTTATGATAGTGTTAACTTCTAAGTATGGTGTGGAGCTGATTATTGACAGAGAATAGTAGCCAAGATTTTCCATGTTCCTTATAGCTCAGGGTATACCATGTTTCCACAGAATAATCAGTACTGGTGGATTTTTATGACACGTCAAACCATCTTCAACCATCTTTACCTTGATTAAGTAAGAATTTATAAAATGCATAGACAGATATCCTGGAAGCTTCATGTCTGTACCTGTCCATTTACAAATGTTAAATTTTGCTAACAATTATAGAGCTTGTAATGGTTAAATTTCATATGTTAATGTGGCTAAACTATGGTATTCAATTTTCAGTCAAAGAGTGGTCTAGTTGTTACTTTATATCCCTTCCCTAGACCCCACCCCAAACAGGCCCCATGTGTGATGCTCCCCTCCCTGTGTCCATGTGTTCTCATTGTTCAATACCCATTTATGAGTGAGAAGATGGGGTGTTTGGTTTTCTGTTCTTGTGTCAGTTTGCTGAGAAGGATAGTTTCCAGATTCATCCATGTCCCTGCAAAGGATAAGAACTCATCCTTTTTTATGGCTGCATAGTATTCCACAGTGTATATGTGCCACATTTCCTTTATCCAGTCTATCGTTGATGGCCATTTGGGTTGGTTCCAGGTCTTTGCTATTGTAAACAGTGCTACAATGAACATACATGTGCATGTGTCTTTATAATATAACAATTTATAATCCTTTGGGTGTATACCCAGTAATGGGATTGCTGGGTCAAATGGTATTTCTGGTTCTAGATCCTTGAGGAATCAGCACACTGTCTTCCACAATGGTTGAACTAATTTACACTCCCACCAACCCAGAACTTAAAGTATAATAAAAAAAGAAAAAATTAAATAAAAATAAATGAATAAAGTGCTTCAAAAAAAAAAGAAAAAGTTTTATAGATAAGATTAATACCTATGATCTGAAGACTTCAAGTAAAAGTGATTACTCTAGATAATGTAGGTGGAGCTTATCCAATCAGCTGAAGGCTTAAGAGTAAATAACTTTTCTGTGAAAGAATTATTTCTAAATGATTGGAATCAACTAAATTTAATTTAATTTAAATTTAATTGGAAAAGTCCCAATAGATATTTGTCATTTATTATTCATTGGAGAATTTATCAGCTCCAAATGGAAAGAAATCATTTTATTATTTGCATTTTCAAAAATATTGAGAGTACTTTATATATGCTCAATACTATGCATGATTCTGAGGATGCAGAGGTGAAAGATGATTCAAAATCTATGGTGGTGCTGGTCTATTTGGAGAAATATTCATAGATGGTGGAAATATAGGAAGGATATTTGGAATGATGTTTCAGACATAGGGGCGCCATGTACTAGAACTTTAAAGAGAGTGAAATCATGAATTTGGTAGTCATAGTAACCAATGTATATTGAGAATATATGGTGCATGTGGAGGATATTGCTAAGGGACTGAAGTCAGATAGTTGACCATGGTTACATTTTTTGATCTGTATTTTGTTGTTGTTGTTTTTGGATGGAGTTTCGTTCTTGTTGGCCAGTCTGAGAGTGCAATGGCATGCCCTCAGCTCACCACAGCCTCTGCTTCCCGGATTCAAGTGATTCTCCTGACTCAGCCTCCCGAGTAGCTGGGATTACAGGCATGTGCCACCACACTAGGCTAATTTTTTGTATTTTTAGTAGAGACAGGGTTTCTCCACATTGGTCAGGCTGTTCTTGATCTCATGACCCAAGTCATCCACCTGCCTTGGCCTCCCAAAGTGCTGGGATTACAGACATGAGCCACTGTGCCCGGCCATATTTTTTTTATATATACAATTTAATGTAATATGGATATGTATCCCTGCCCAAATCGCATGTTAAGTTGTAGTCTCCAATGTTGGAGGTGAGGCCTAATGGGAGATGATTGGATTAAGGGGGTGGCTTTCCCATGGTTTAGCACCATCCCCTTCATGCTATTCTCAGGATAGTGAGTTCTCATGAGATCTGGTTGTTTAAAAGTGTATGGCATCTCCCCCTCCTTGCTCTCTTGCACATATTTGTGCCATGTGGCTTGCCTGTTCCCTTTTCACCTTTCAGCATTTTTTTCTTTTTTTTGAGATGGAGTTTTGCTCTTGTTACCCAGGCTAGAGTGCAATGGCGGGATCTCGGCTCACTGCAGCCTCCGCCTCCTGGGTTTAGGCAATTCTCCTGCCTCAGCCTCCTGAGTATCTGGGATTACAGGCATGTGCCAACATGCCCAGCTAATTTTTTGTAGTTTTAGTAGAGACGGGGTTTCACCATGTTGACCAGGATGGTCTCGATCTCTTGACCTCGTGATCCACCCGCCTCGGCCTCCCAAAGTGCTGGGATTACAGGCTTGAGCCACCGCGCCCGGCCCACAACTCCTTATCTTAACCCAGACACTCACTTCCATTGATTCCAGGTCTTTAAGTGATAATTGATCTCTTTCAACAAATTGCCAATCAGAAAATCTTTGAATCTACCTATAACCTACAACCCTGCCCTCCCCCCTACCAACTGCCACCCCACTCCCAAACCAATGTATAACTTACATGCATTGATTGATGTCTTATGTATCCCTAAAGTGTTTAAAACCATGCTGCAGCCTGGCCACCTTGGGCACATATCCTTAGGGCTTCGTGAGACTGTGCTTTGGACTATGGTCACTCATATTTGGCTCAGAATAAATCTCTTCAAATATTTTACAGAGTTCAATTCTTTTAGTTGATGCAATTTCGTAACTGTAAAATAGAAACAAGGATGTTTTTATAAGAATATCCTATCCAAAATATGGTAGCTTTTATTATTAGCAGTGTTGACCTCATAAAATGTGATCTAGTAGATATACAACTTCTGGCACATGGAGAATATTCACTACATGCCCTATCTATCTCTTTACTTTTGTGTCACTTCAATCAACTACTCTTTAAACTATCACATGTCAAGCATTTATTACTGTGTTTGATACATCATAAACACCTGAATATTGATAGGCAGCTTTATAAATGTACACACAGAAATCTGTATATTCTTCAACCAGCAAGCACTTTAAGTGCCTCTTTTGATAATATTCAAAATCCTTAGTGAAGTGACTTCAACATAGTACTGTTACTTCTAACTGGTTATATAACAAAATATGCGGCCAGATTACTGATATAAATAAAAACAAAACTCAGCACTATAAAAAACCCTTTGGGAATGTAAATACTGGTTTGGGAATTGGAAGATGTAGGTTTTAGAGCTAGCTATAATGCTAATTACTGCAATATGTTATAAAAAGCTCTTGAAGTTCACTGTTATAAAGTGAACAAGTTGAATTAAAAGATTCATGAGGCCCCTTTTGGCTCAAATAGTTCAAAATTGTGGACATTTATACTCTGAGTCATATACAAACAAATATTACCAAAAGAAATTATAAAAGATACTGCTAAATCTCTGGTATCCAAGCAATGAATTGGTGAAACTTAATTGTCTTAGGATTATCGTATCAATAAAAATAAATAAGCATATCATTACATTTTAGGGCACATAGATACTTGGAGGTCTGAATGATCTAAGTTAAAAACCAAAATCATCTTTCTCTCTTTTTGTTCTTTTAAGGCAAGCCTCTTAAATATCAGAGCCGTCTAGTAGAATCTGCAAAGTCAACAATCCATCCTTGGGACAAATGTTTGAGGTATGCACTATTGCCTGAGATTCCATTTAGGGGAAAAGAGGTGAGATAATCCTGAATGACTAGGGTCACTATTTTCCCATAGTCAACAATCAGATAAATCTAGATTCCATTGCAAGTAGAGATTGACTAGCTGTTATATAGATATTTCTTTTCTTTCAAACATTGATAGTACATTTCTTCATATGCATTTTAACTTCATAGTGCCTCTCTGGGTAGGATATTTTTGCTAAGGGAAGTAGTTGATTTAGTCAGCTGTTGTATTTTTCTTGGAGTACCAAATCATGGCTTGTAGTTACAAAAGGTGGCTATTCTCCCAAGTGTCACTTTATTGTCACAGTCTGTCCTGATATTTGATGCCAAGTGTGATGTGTAGGTTGGGTGTGTAGGTTGATTAATAAAATCTGTCTAATAACCAAATGTGGTTATTAATAACCATTTGTCTTAGTGTCAAATACTTGGAACGGTTGTTCCCAAGACCTGAAAATATTTCTAAATTTCTAAGGACACTTTGTTAGCTTTCTAAATCAAGACATTTCTTTCCAGAGCATAGAAAACTATATTTCCCAAATGGCACAAGAATAATCAATATAATTTGTTTTGAAACAAAGTATTAGTTATATTTTTATCACCTATAGCAACAGATATATAATATTAACTGAAATACTGTTGACTTCTTTGCAGATTTTTAAACTATAATAAAGACTCCAATTAACAAATGAGAATCAAAGATCTATGTGCTTTACAAATATTATACAAAGATCACTTTTTTCACAAGGTTCTATCTGTCCCATGATAAACATTTTAGTGAAATGGTATGAATTTAGTTATCCAAATACTTTAATTACTTGATACTATACTGGATTTCTTTTTATCATGGATACTAAACCGTGTCTTTAAATTGATTAAAAGTTAAGGAAGATTTATCCTTCCATCTGTAGTAAATTTTTAAATTTAATGTACTATTTCTCAAAATTAAGTCATTTACATATTATGCTTATGTTTTCTAGCCATATTTGCTTAACAGATTTACTGTTATTTACTTAAACTCCTGACCTCAGGTGATCCACCCACCTCAGCCTCCCAAAGTGCTAGGATTACAGGCATGAGCCACCACGCCCGGATACTGTTATTTACTTATCACTTTTATATTGTTTCTCTTTTTTTGCTTAATAAATGCATCAAAAAGAACATTTTATAACCACTGTAATAATTATTACCATTATGCCAGAACATTATTGTTAAAAATTTTAAAAACAAACCAAAAAAATTAGCCATTTAATCAGTGTAACAATTGCATGCTTAAAAATTAATTTTTCAAAAAGAATAACATGTTTATTGTCACCAAATAATAGAATTTTGAATCCTTGAAGCTTAAATTAACATGAATATCATGCTTAATGTAATAGAACAATCCCATTGTTTTTTAATCTATTAATGAGAATTTCAACTGAAACATGTACATATTTGAACACTGGAAAAACCTAGTTCCTTTGTGATAATTTATGGTATAGAGAATTCATTATTAGTCAAAATAAGATAAATGACTTTGCATAAGAACATTTCCTTTAAAAAAAAATCTGAGGTGTTCTCTAAATTTTGTTCTTCTGAATGTGTCAAGTAACCTGGTAACGGGCAATACCAGGGAAGAAGAGCATGTCATGGCAGTATGAAAGTGTTGTTCATTTGGGAAATTTTGTATGAAGGCCACTTACTTTTGTTATCCTTCAGTGACATCTTGATAATATTCAAAATACTTTTCACCAACTATTTAAAATAAGTTAACAACTAAGTCATTCTGACATGTAAAATAATCTAACATACCATGATCCAGGCTTGATGGCTGATGCTCCAATTTTGTCATTAATGAATTTACTCTGTCTTTCATGTGGAAAACTGGTACAAATGAATTTTGTAAGGTTGTTGTTCAGTTGGGCTGACATCTCTGCAAAAAATTTTAATATGCAAAAGCAGTCCCTCGTGCATACAACATCACGTAGTAAAGGTTTTAGCTGTAAAACTAAGGTTGTTATTTTGTTTCAAATAGAAAAGGATAGATTTTCAGGATTTAAAAAAATAGATTTCACTACAAAACTATATTTCTTGTAATTTCTCAATTCTAA